GGAAACTTTAGAGGTAATTAGCAAGGACAAGTGGTGAATGTTGTGGGAGATGGTCAATTAGTTTGGAGTTGAAGATGAGGAAGCTCTATTGTAAGGAAAATGTGAGAAGCATGACCCCATTGACATTGGAGAGAAAAAAGAATGAGAGAATTCTAGCGGCGAGGTCACCAGTGACAAGGTTGTGGATGACTGGGTTTGGGGAGTGGGGGAAGAGAGAATTTGTGGTGTATTTGGGAATAGGAAAATATCCAGGTTTATTTGTAAAATAATTAAAAAGGATAACTGCAGGATTTTTTGGTCTAAAGGGCATTTTTCATCATTTTGGTGATGTGCTTGGCATGTAATATGTTAGAGATGATGGTGTTAAATGGTAAAACTTTAGGGGAGTTTAGTTGGGCTTTTAAAAGTTCCGGGGTCTAAGTGCACAAGTCCTAAAGTTCATGGAGTTTATGAAATTAACCCTAAAATTTAATCAAGAATGTCATAATAAGCCATAGAATAATATTAGTATTTTAATTTCAATATTAGCTGTAAAGATAAATGGTGATCACCATTTCTTTGAGAGGTGGCATACAAATTTTAAATGGATTTTAGTCTGTCCACTTACTCAATATCATATCCTTACACTACTAGTAAACTTTCTTAATATAGAATAGTATTGTGGCGCATGCAATGCGTGCATGACACAAAATGTAAGAGAAATGTTGTAATGAGATTGTCAAGGAAATAGATAAATATGATTTTGAGTGTATTTTCGTCTTTTCTTTTGGATATTTCCAAGTTTTAGGCTATTACTATGATTTTTTCCCCAAAATGTGTGGACATTTCCTTTGATTATGTTAAGTGTGAGGGCATTTTTGTTTAGTTTTTTAAGTGAGAGTATTTAAAAAAATGAACAGTTTCTAAATATGGAAATCATAAACTTAAGTATTGGTAAGGTGATAATGTATACTATATATTAAGAAAAGCCCCACCCCCTTTTGGCAAATAGAAGAAATATCGATAAATATTGGTGTACTCCTTTATTTATTCTACAAACATTAATCAGATTAACGCTAAAAGGATTAGTTACAAAATATATGGTATGAATTGAAAAAAAATATTGTGTAAAATATGTTGATTAAATTGCTGAGAGTGGGAAACACGAGCAACACACGTATGAGAGATCTGTCTAGAAATTATTAAAGGGTAGAGTAAGAATTGTTGCATACTTGAGGTGGTTATAACCTCACAAGTTAAATTTTTTAGTCTACTTTATGTTTACCACTTAGTGGACTGTAAGCTATTGAAAAGGGTGTGAGCCTTTTATTTAGATGCCAACCAGGAGGAGGCATGGGTTTCTCATATTTGCTAAGTTACAGATAGATATTCCAAAGACATGAATAGTAGACTTTTTATAATACATTAATAACACTTGGTCCTTATAGTCTACTAACGATGACCTTACCCAGGCTTAATGTGGAGTCTACTTTTTATAATACATTAATAACACTTGGTCCTTATAGTTGCTATTTTATATATCATCATGAGTCTAGATCTAGCAAAACATGATCTTTCATGAATTTTTGCCTACCTTTTGCCTACCCTAATTTGACAGCGGAAGGCATGGATTATGATCTTCAAGGATGTGCAACCGTGAACAAGGTTTTAAAAGTCAGATGTTTGGTTCATGTCGGACGGCTAAAGTTTATGTCGGATAGCGAAAATTAGGGATATGTTGGGGGATATATAATAAATGTCGGATTGCCATATCGGATGGATCTCTACTTAATTTTGGTCATCAAGATAGAGCACACTTGTCTTGTTATAGCTTATCCTACTTGAGTTGAGTATTCAACATCAAGACACAAGTTGTTTTCTATTTCTTGAAGGGAAATCGTGGAATATTATGCCAACAAATAAACAAAATATACATTTTCAAACTAGAACTTTCGGAGTGCCTTGCATAAAATTGACATAAAGTGTTAAACTTTGGATTGCTTTTAAGCTACGGCTCAAACTTACTGTTTACATCTCGCTTTTATGAATTCTCAATTTCAATTACAAATTTACAATTCAATACTAACTTAAAACCAATTTCAATTTCAATTTCAGTTATTGTGTTTGACAGGGAAAAATAAAGAGAACAAAGGGCTGGTTTATCTCGTCGACTTTGTGAAAAAAAAAAACTGAGATTGAAGCTATGACCCTCGAATCCCTTTGCACAATCTGAAATTGACAAAGACGAACAAAGAATCAGAGTTGTAAACTTGTAATTGATAAATAGATGAATAGAAAGAGTGAGAAGACATAAAGAGTGAGAGAGAGAGATTGCAGAAATAGAACGAGTAAGAGAGAGAAAAAGACATACCATTTTTTTTTAATTTCTCAGTGGCGTTGGAGCTCTAATGGCCGTGACTTGTACAGACAATGATGAACGAGAGGAGATCGCGGTGGAAAGGAGACCAACATTTTTTTCTTTGTTCTAATCCGTATTCTCTGCTATTAGGTTGCCAAGGGAACAAATGGCTAAAAAAAAGAGTCAATCGGGTTTGGGTTTTGAGTACTAAACGCAAACCCGGATACTTATCAACTTAAAAACAAACCAAAAAAAACCCATAGCTGATTTTTCAAGGGTGAAATTCAGCTGATATATCCGCAATATCCCCTGACACGTTTGATATGGATCTCGAAAACAATATCTGACTTGAAATGATTATGTCCGTGTTGCTCTAGCCTCCGTCATATCCGACATGGCGGCCGACATTTAAAACCATGACCATGAATACCTTGAACTATTCTAGGAGTCTCATCAATGGGACTTTTAACTAATTGTTAAAAATTTGAAATGCAACTGTCCCACTGAGGTACTGAGATGAAGCACTTAGGATTACTATGCTATTATTTTAAGTATTTAGCTTTAGTATGAATTAGATATGCTATCAGTTTGTGATGTTGCAACAATATTTTGCTATACCAGTATGTGTGTAATGCACGCCCGCAGACATGTATATCTTATGTATGATGCATATTTCAATATACTATGTCTCAAATGGTAGCTCACATTTTTCTAGTTAGCCTGGAAAGATCTGCAAATAAAAAATCAGTATAAGACATATACACATTATTTTATGTGTATGCATATATACACAAAGCAGACGATCATGCTCATGTGCATGTTTTCTAACATAAATTCATCTGCTAACATATGTAGGAACTTGCCAAAAAGAATCGCCGCTTCATGATCTATGTGCATTCAAAAGGTATGATAGTGGATGACGAATATTTGATTGTGGGGTCCGCAAATATCAACCAGAGATCTTTGGAAGGTACAAGAGACACCGAGATAGCAATGGGTGCATACCAGCCTGAGCATACATGGGCAAGGAAGATCTATGGCCCACGTGGACAGGTAATAACATGTTCAACTCTTAAACTCTATTTATGGGTTTAAATCAAACATTTTTCGTGGCAAAGAAGTTTGGAGTCCTTTCATCCTCAGTGATCTTGCATTTCTCTATCCATTGCTAAATTAACTTGTAATTTCTTTATGTGCCTTCGTTTTGCAGTATGACTAGTTTATCTATAATGACACATCTATAACTTTGGTGCTAACATGCATCAGGTCCCCATCTAACTGGCCAGAAGAAAGAGAAAACACAACCCATCCTCCTTTTTTGTAGAGCTATCCCCCACTCTCATTGTTAAAATATAAAATTATTACCCTTAACCCTCACAACAACTTTGAAGTTTTGGTGTAGTGGCGGGGACCCTTAACAAAGTATCATGACAATCCAGTTTCAAATATTGTTGGCAATGAATTTCTGAAGTGGGTTTAAGAATATACTGTACCTTGAGTTCGTATTTTGGCCCATGAAAGGGCCTTCAACTTGCGGGGGTATGTTAAGAGTATAGAATTGTAACTGCAACTCTTACCACAACTTTGCAGTTCTCGTGTAATGTCAGGGTACTTTGACACTCGTATATCTAACTTGATATCTGATCTCTAAAAGTGAAAGAGACTGTGTTTAGTGACATGTGTTATGCTACCACCAGACGATTTATTTTATGATGAATGATACAGATCCTATGGGGGTCTTTGAAAATATATTTTCTGATTTGTATTAGGTAATCTTGTGCACAGATTTTTGGCTATCGAATGTCACTATGGGCTGAGCATATTGGACATCTGGAGGAATGCTACACCCAACCTGAGAGCCTCGAGTGCATGAGAAGAATTCGGCATCTGGGAGAGATGAACTGGAAACAATTTGCCGCGGAAGATGTTACAGACATGACCGGCCACCTAATGAAGTACCCGGTGGATGTTGACAAGAAGGGGAAGGTGAAGCCTCTTGCTGGATGCGAGTCTTTCCCCGATTTGGGTGGAAATATTTGTGGATCATTTTTAGGCATTCAGGAAAACCTCACAATATGAACGAATTATGTGCTACAAATTTTGTATTTGAGATAGTGAAAGAGCTCACATCTACTCTTCTATACTTATAGGAGGATTCAAAGAACTTTTGTTCATACTAAAGTTAATGCTACAGTAAATGTTGTAGAGCGAACAATAAATTGACGAATAAGCAAAATACGGTAGATGTTGTAGCGTTGACGGTAAATCGACCCCCAAGCAGTAGTGCTTACTATATTATACACAGTAAATCTAGAACTATATTTTTGAAGTTATTGTTTATGCTACAATATTTTATTGTATTATAAACAGTTAATTAAATCAAATGTACTAAAACCTAGATCTTCCTCTAATTATAAAAGAGTAGATATGATTCCTAAATCAAATGTATTAAAACTAGGATCCTCCTTTAAGTATAGTATATTATTTCTAATTTTAAGTATACAATTTGATCAAATTAAATGTATTATAACTTTGAGGGTGGTAAGTTCAAAATGTAATATTTAAAAAAGTAGGGGGCCGTGCTTTACACTGGGTGCACACTTAGTAGATGATGTAAAGGATAGCAAGAGGTTTATAGGAGCCAACAAGCAACAGAGCAGTAAGCTAGTTATTGGTGGTGTCAATGTCATGGAAGTTCAGTCAGCATTTGAATGTAAATTTTGTACGGGCTTCTTTTACAAAATTTTTATATTTACAACAAAGAAAGATCAGAATTTATCTCAAGTGCAATTGCCGCAGGCGCAGGATTAACAAACTAGCTGTGTATTTGAGTCCTATTTTTGTAATAGACGGGCTTTATTATTATACTGGAATTATTTTGTCTAACTCTATTAGAAGGGATCATACTGTTTATACAAGCAATTACTTATTTAGGATTTGATTCTTTTGTAACGTTGAAAGCATTTGTAATCTGAAAGCCTGATAACATATTGGTGAAAATTTCTGCCTCGTGATGTCTTTCAAGGTCCTGAGATTTGGGAAAGTTCCATTTGAAGTTACAACCACTCATCAACGTCTTTTGAGCGATGCTTAATTATTCCACACCATAAAGATCAACGGTTATTGCACTTTAATACTCCAAAGTTTCACTTTTTTTAAACCATGATATCTTAAAGTTCTATCTTAATAAATTGCTACCCCAGTGTGTAAAAAAGTTAAACATTAATTTTTTTTCAAGAATATCAAGATAGAAAAGTGGATGAGAACCATTTTTAACCAAATATTAGCCTTTTGAGTCTGGGAAAACAGACGGACAAAGTTAGGGACGTGAATATCGAGCTATCAAATTAACGCTTAACCTCGAAAACTTTGAAGCATTAAATCAACGCTAAACCGTGAAAACTTTGGGGCATTAAATCGTCACAATAGAAATCAGAAAAATGTCTCAGGGATCCCAAAATAGGGGATCCTGAGTGGGACAGGTAAGGTGTCGCCTCCCTGTCCCGTGATGCACTGTTCATGAATAGTGCATCACAGGACAGGGAGGCGACACCTCACCTGTCCCACTCAGGGTCCCCTATTTTGGGATCCCTGTAGTAATACTCTAGAAATCAATGTCTCAAAGTTAAATGAAGGTGGTGCTCTAATTAAGCTCTCGCAAAGGGCAAGAAATAAGTTCAGAGTGGTAAAAAGCTCTTATTAAGAGAGAAAAAGAATCTTTTTTCAGAAGGAGATAACTTTTTTTTTGAAGAAAGAATAGAACCAGATTTTTCGCAATTTAATACTTGAGTTTTTTAAATACTAGTCCCTTAAGTCTTCAACAATTGAATATTAGTCCCTCAAATCTTAAAAATTGCATGTTAGCCCCTTAATCCTAAGGGGTTTTACAAAATAGTTCTAAAAGTTAAAACATGTTAGATTTGCTGGAATATTTCCCTCAAATCTAACGATTGATGACAAAGTCATCACTTTATCCCTCTATTATGTTTTCCAATCCATTTTTTATGGGTTTAAACCCAATACCTGCTAAAGAAAATCCAAGTCCATTTGAGTTCTTGTCCATTGGTTAGAAAAGAACCTAACTTAAAGTTGAGCTTCACAAACATTTGAAACCTCAAAGTGAGGAGTAATTTGGTGATTGTAGATATATGGTTAGGAGTTAACATAAACATGATTAGGTTATTAACTAAAATATTAGTAGAGGGACCATTTTACAAGGCCTATATGAAAATAACCCTCATATAATCCTAGAGAGGGAGTACATAAGGTGATGCAACAACTTTTGATAAGATTAAACTTTTGAACAATTTTTTGAAACAGATCCATTTCAATTTTTTTTAAAAACCAACCCCTTTTTTTTTATTTACCAAAACCGACCCGATTTTGTGATTAGTAGTTTAATTACCTTCCTAAACAGTCGGGGTTGCCAACCCTGACTATTTAGGAGGGTGTTAAACCCTAATTAGAAGCTTTAAACCCTAAAAATTAATATCCTAAATAGTCGGGGTTGTCAACCCCAACTGTTTAGAAAGTTAATTAGACTGCTAATCACAAAATCGGGTAGGTTTTGGTAAATAAAAAAAAGGGTCGGTTTTAAATTTTTTTTTTTTTGAAATGGGTCTGTTTCAAAAAATTGTTCTAAACTTTTTCTTGTTTAGCTAATTCTGAATCCTAGCAATTGTGATATAGAGTTAAATAATCTCTTTTAATCAATTTAAACAATTTCTCAAGTACCAATTTTAGAATTACTTGCAGCAATTATAATAATAATTGCAAAAAATAAACAAGCAAATTAAGAGATCACCACATAAAAGCACAACCACAAATATAGAGATTTATAATTGATGATGTATGAAATCAACTTATAGGATTGAGCCCATGAGATTGGACTTTATTGTTGAGGGCCCCTCGATCAGCTTTGATGACAGAAGCAGGTCTTCATACCTAGGTGTAGTTGAGTTAACTTGGCTTGCCCTGAGATCACAAAAAATATATCAGATTAACGATTGTGGGTTGTCCACCAACGCCCCTCCGATGCCTAAGTCAGGCTCTTAATAAAGAGATCGTAGACTGTAGGTGAGTATGTTAGGGTTTTAGAGTAAGATGAGCCTTAACCTAGGTCGGCAGAGGCGAACCTAGGTAAAAAGTCAGATCTTATGCCTTGCTCTTATCTTAGATAGGAGGGCTATTTATATTGATTGCCCAGGGCAGATCAACATCTACACATGTCACCATCTTGACGGTCGACGTTGTTGCACTATATATGTCGCACTTAAGATTTGGCTTGTAAGGTATTTACTTAGGTAACAAGTGTTACCACGTGGCAGTACCACATTAGCGTAGGATGGTATAGCTAATGCATATGTAGATTGACCAGTTAGAGAAGTTGGAAATTAGATTGGTTATTCGATTGATTTCTCCTAACATGATATGTTGAGGGTAAGATATGATTCGAATCAAATCATTGCACCCTTGCTTAGGACAAGGCATAATAGCTTGTTGAGATCGGTTATCATTGACCCATTGTCATTGCACCTGAGCTTGGGGGTCAGGTGCATGAGCGTGACCAAATTGTATGCTGAGTGCATATGACCTACACTTTAATGAGTTAAAGTGCGTACCTGGTTGACTGAGTCAACTTGTCATCGTGAAGTTGTCTAGCTAATTCAATTGTAAAATCAAAATCACATGCATAATAGTGGCCCCTTACTCCTGAGCTGAGATGAAAATCTGGGTTGAGAGTAGGTAAGGCTCATGCAGAGTCCATGTCAGCCATGATTCATCTAATCGCATTTAATGTGAATATCTCGGATATGCGACCGAGGTTCTCATCATAGATTTTCATCTCAGATGATATCTCCTCATTAATTTTACTCATCACCTAACAATTTTTGTGCATCGTGCTGGCATCCATTGATTCAAAGGGTTTTTCCTTACTCAGCAAGTTTTAGTCCTTTAGAAGCAGCACAACTTAAAATCGTTTCTCTCTTACTTTCTTTCATATTTTTACTTGCTAAGATTAATTTTCATCTTTGATCCTACTAATGGCAACCTTCAGTTCCTTTGAGATGACCCCTTGTCGATTTGATAGAAGTGCTCATGACCTTTTGAAGGGTCTTAGAGCAAGGGCAGCAAGCTCTGAAGGAGGCTCTCAAGGCTGACATGGCCGTGGAAGTTGGCACCCCCCCCTCCAGCAAGCTCTGAACCCCTCCCAAGCCCCTCTCCTAAGGTTGACGTGGCCTTGGGGAGCTTCCGAGCTCCCAAGCGCTCCACAAATTTGTGGAGCGCTTGGGAGCTCACAACTGGTAGAGATTTTAACAAACCCCCCCCACAAGTTCACAATTGCAGAACTGAAAAAAATGAAATCTGCCCAAAATTGAAGCCAAAAATCAAACCTTTAGTGTGCGGTTGGGGCGGAGAGGGCTTGATTCGACGGGGCGGAGAGGGCTTGAGTTGGACCCTCTCCGATCGGAGGCGGCGGAGGTTGCGGGAGAGGGCTTGATTCGACGGGGGCGCTCGGTTGGGGCGAAGATGACGAAGATTCGAAGGGGGGGCTCAGATTTTTGACGAGGAAGATTTGAGGACGAAGATTTGAGGACTGGATTTTGGGCCTGGACTGGATTTTGGGCCTAGACGAAGATTTGATGGAGATGATGGAGTTGAAGAGTTGGGGAAACGAAGAAGAAGGGTTCTTCCTGTTGGGGAGATGATTTGGGGCGACGGAGTTTTGATTTCGACGGTGGCGCTCGGTTGGGGCGAAGATGACGAAGGGTCGACGGAGTTTTGATTCGACGGTGGCGCTCGGGAGAGGGCTTGATTCGAAGATGACGGTGGCGCTCGATTTGGGGACGAAGATTTAAAGAGTTGGGGACGAAGATTTGGGGACGAAGATTTTTGACGAGGAAGATTTGAGGATATGATTTGGGGAGATGAGTTGGGGCGACAGAGTTTTGATTTGGGGCGACAGATTTTTGTGTAATTTTTTTTTAATTAGCTTTCAACTTCGTGTGGATGATTGAAAAATACTACCGTTTGGTGAAAAAATGTCCGTTGAGTGAAAATTATTACCGTTGTGTGAAAACATGACTGTTGAACAGTAAGAAAAACTCTATAAATTCACAATTCACTACACAACTCATTCCACACAACTCTCATAAAAAAACTCTATATTTTCCTATCAAATTACAAATCTCATGGATCCCTCCCAAAACAACTACTATTCGCAACTCCTTACCGGTGAAGGATCGACCTTATACTCGCCGTTCT